TGGCTATCTACTGATGAAATCATAGAAACATAGAGTTGGAAGAGACCTCATGAGCCATCCAGTCCAACCCCCTGCCAAAAGGCAGGAAAATTGCATTCAAAGCACCCCCGACAGATGGCCATCCAACCTCTGTTTAAAAGCTTCCAAAGAAGGAGTCTCTACCACACTCCGGGGCAGAGAGTTCCACTGCTGAACAGCTCTCATAGGAAGTTCTTCCTAATGTTCAGATGGAATATCCTTTCATATATATATATATATATATATATATATATATATATATATATACACACATATAATCTTTATTAAATTTCCGATTTACATTTAAAATAAGAGATATGTAGCCGAAGCTGCTAAAAAATGTGGTGTGATATCTGAGAAAGTCCCGAAAAAGAAATGTGATGTGTGAAGAAGAGAGAGAGAGGGAATGGAGAGGGCAGAGAAAGACAAAAAAACAACAACAAACAAACAAAACAAAAACAGAATAGATTTAAAGCCCAAAGCCTAATTAAAAGCGAGAGTAATTGTTGTTTTCGACTTCCTGGGATCTTCTAGAGGTCTGCTCTACCTTCTTTCTCAACTTCCTTTTCTTTCTCTTCTCTCCTCAACTTCTTTCTCCTTCTCTTCCTTCCCTCTTTCTCTTCCGGGGCAGAGAGTTCCACTGCTGAATGGCACTCACAGTCAGGAAGTTCTTCCTAATGTTCAGATGGAATCTCCTTTCTTGTAGTTTGAAGTCATTGCTCCGCATCCTATTCTCCAGGACAGCAGAAAACAAGTTTGCTCCCTCCTCCCTATGACTTCCTCTCACATATTTATACATGGCTATCGTGTCTCCTCTCATCCTTCTCTTCTTCAAGTTAAACATGCCCAGCTCTTTAAGCCATTCCTCATAGGGCTTGTTCTCCAGACCCTTGATCATTTTAGTTGCCCTCCTCTGGACACATTCCAGCTTGTCAATATCTCTATTCAATTGTGGTGCCCAGCTTTGGATACAATATTCCAGGTGTGGTCTAACCAAGGCAGAATAGAAAGGTAGCATGACTTCCCTGGATCTAGGCATTTCTAAGCTCTATAGTAGGCATGGGCTAACTTTGGCCCCTCAGGTGTTTTGGACTTCAACTCCCACAATTCCTAACAGCCAGTAGGCTGTTAGGAATTGTGGGAGTTGGAGTCCAAAACAACTGGATGGCCGAAGTTTGCCCATGTCCGCTGTATAGGAATACGACAGACATATGAACCCTATTGGCTGTAAGTTTCTTGGAGCAGGGATTTGGCTGTCTTCTTGGGTTGAAAGGGTAAAACTACTTCTCTGAAGTTTCTCTGTAAATGGTATGGACAATTTTTAAAATCCTGTTCTTGATCGCAACAATCCCATTCCAAAAGCATCTGGGGAGGTATTAAAACTTGGGGGAGGGAAAGCCTATTTTCAGCCCAGTACAACAGCTTAACTGTGCAATCCTATGCTTGCTTCCTCAGAAATAAGTCCCACTAAGCTCAGAGGGTAATAGTGTGCTTTCGGTTTCTGACAGAAAGCCAAAGCAGGCATTACCCCCTCAATCTGTGCTGTCTCATTTATTTTCCCCAAAAAAGGACTTGGCAAAGGCTGGCAATTAAAAAGAAAGAAGCCTCCAAATCTTTCAATTATCTGTCCACTTTCTCTGGTATGTGCATAATTAGCCAGGTGCATTACTATATATATATATATTATATTACATGTAGTATTGCTAATAATATTACAATACAATGGTATAGTACAATATAGTAATATATAATACTGATATTGTACAATGCTAATAATATAATATGTTGTATATATATATATATATCTTGTATGCTTGTAAGGGGTTCAGAATGCTCTTTGATTGTAGGTGAACTATAAATCCCAGCAACTACAACTCCCAAGTGTTAAGGTCTATTTCCCCCTAACTTCATCTGTGTTCATATTTGGGCATATGGAATATCCATGCCAAGTTTGGTCCAGACCCATCATTGTTTGAGTCCACAGTGCTCTCTGGATGTTGGTGAACTACAACTCCCAAACTCAAGGTCAAAGCCCACCAAATCTTTCTAGTGTTTTCTGTGGTTTTTGGGAGTCCTGCGTGCCACATTTGGTTCAATTCCATCATTGGTGGAGTTCAGAATGCTCTTTGATTGTAGGTGAAGTATAAATCCCAGCAACTACAACTCTCAAATGACAAAATCAAAACATTTTGAGTGAAGGACATACATTGGGTTGTTAGGCGTCTTGTGTCCAAACTTGGTGCCAATTAGTCCAGTGGTTTTTGAGTTCTGTTAATCCCACAAACGAACATTACATTTTTATTTATATAGACTAGCTGTACCCGCCACGCGTTGCTGTGGCCAACCATCCCTCTTTCTTTCCTTCTTTCCCTCCTTCCTTCACTCCCTCTTTCCTTCCTGTTTTTCCTTCTCTTCTTCCTTCCTTCTCTATCTCTTTCCTTCCTTTCCCCTTTTTCTTTCTCTTTTTCTGTCTCTCTTTTCTTCTTTCTCTTTCCTTCCCTCCCTCTTTCTCTACATCTTTCCCCTTCCTTTGCTCCCTCTTTCCTTCCTTTTTTCTTTTCTTCTTTCCTTGTCTACCTTTTCTTGCTTCCCCCTTTTTTCTTTCCCTCCCTCTTTCCTTCCTTTCTTCTCTCCTTGCTTCCATGCTTCCTTCTCCCTTTCCTTCTCCCTTTCCCTCTCTCTTTTTTCCTCCTCTTCCCTCCTTCTTTCTTCCCTTTTTCCTGTATTGTCATTTAGCTTTTGGGGGCTTTTTAAGTTCCTTCTGCTGTGATTTTCAGTGTTTTTATGAGTGAAGGACATACATTGGGTTGTTAGGTGTCTTGTGTCCAAATTTGGTGCCAATTCGTCCAGTGGTTTTTGAGTTCTGTTAATCCCACAAATGAACATTACGTTTTTATTTATATAGATTTCTAATTTGCAGGTCATCTATTCTAATCTTCTACTTAATTCAGGATGAAGCAACAGCATCTCTGCAAAAGTAGCTACCCAAACTCTATAGTTATACTTCTATTTAAAAATTAGTTACCAGCAGAAGCAAATATTTTTCTAGCTAAAGAGAGTTGAAATTGCACAAATATTTACAGGCAGATTAAGTTCAGTTTTCAAAACCTGGAGCTTCAGTAACCTGCAAAAATTTCAGGCTTGGAAAAGTTACTTTTGGGAACTAAAACTGTCAGCATCCTCCATGACCCCTTGGATGAACTGTTGTTATCCTCACCTTTTTTGTAAATATGCAGGTTTGTTGTCACAGTGTTATTGTACAAGAGTTTCTGTATGCAAAAAAAGCCAAAGTTCACTCTGGTCTCTGTAAAAGGGGTTTTGGGGAAGATTTCTCTCCGAGGTGGCATCTACACTGCCAAATAATGCAGTTTGAACGGCATCATATGGTCAGTTCATACATGGTTTAATGGGTCAAAGTTTGCATTTGTATCAGAGTAAAAAATCCCAGTCTTAGAGATAATATAATTATTTGATCCTACTTGCAGGACTTAAATTGTGAAAGCTTAGCCCCAGAAGCTGTCTGCAGTATCATGGATAAACCATGTGAAATAAAGATTGTAATGCTTCTGAAAGCAAGTCATGTTAATGCAGGGTGGCCCTGTACATCTGGGTTTGGGGACAAGGCCTGAAATTCTAAGGATTGAAAAATTGGGTTGCTGTGAGTTTTCCGGGTTATATGGTATAATAAAGAGCAGCCGAGTAAAAGATTTTAATTAAAGTATTTAGATGGGGAAAATATATATAAAATAATCCCAACGCTGCTTAGCTGTGAATTATAACACTCACAAAAGGAAGAGGGAGTATGGTTGCTGAACCAACTATATATTTAAAAGTTAGGAACTGGGAACGACTGGAACTGAGAGACTTAAAATTCATCTTCAAATGAAATATGCTGCTACCATTTTACTATTAACCAGGCTGAGGTAATATTGAGAGTTTGTTCTGTAATACACACTGGCCCACTATAGTTTTTTAGAGGCTGCTGTGAAGCTGACTTTTTAGTAATACTTTGACCACAAAGGTATTCACACTGAGGCTGGTATAAGTTGAATAAAACAACTAGAATGTTTATTGAACAGGCTTGAAATAATTCAGATACAAATGCTTAATGGTTTCAGTAAAATCCTGGCATAAAAAGCATGTGGTTGCGTTAAAGTCAAGATCTTAAAAACTTCTGGGTTACAAGTCTTTGAAGTTCCACCACAGAAAATTACTTCAGGAAATGAATCTCTGAAAGTAACTCCCAAAAATGCCTTAGGAATCTAGCCAAAAATACCCTGAACTAGACTTCCATAGGAATTGAGCAGTCCACTAACGGGGTAGTGCTCCTCCACAGTATTCTAGCTATTTTCCCAATAGCTACTCTGAATACTTCACAAAAGACTAACCCAATCTTCTTCTTCAAACCCAAACTCGCTCTGACTAACACCAACACTTCTCTCTAACAGCTCCAAACTCCAACTGGCTCAACTGGGACTTCAAGCCTCAGTTTAAAAGGACACTTTTTCCCCTTTAGTCCACTTAGGCTCCGCCCCCATCTTTCTAACCAATCCTAGCCTTCTCATTTTCCCTCCAAGACTTGAACATGCCCTCCCAAGGCAAACCTTCCTAAAATGGCTTCTCCCTGTCTCCCTTTTCTAAAACGGATGCCGTGGCTTCACCAGGCTCACTCCCAGACAATCGATTGCAGGAAATCGCATTAACAAAGTGCAGGCATTGAGTAATTCAGCATGGCATAAAGCTGATAATTCTAATAAAGGTAGGTTTCCATTTGATTGAAGAATAAAGTTGTGATGAGACAACAGGCTGGTGTGACAAAGTCCTTCGCTTTTGGGTAGGAACCCCTTGAAAGATTGCTTTGATCCAAGAGCAACCTGTAGCTGATCTCTATTCTGCTTTATGGGGGATCTGTATAATATGGACCTTGGGAAGACGGTATTATATGGACCTTGGGACCTTATATACTTTATGTTCTGTTTTAGGGTGCCGGGGAACACTGTTACTACCAAGGCCATCTCCGTGGAGAAGTGAACTCTTTTGCTGCCCTGTCCAGTTGTCATGGCTTGCAGTGAGTAGCAAATATTGGGCTGGGAAAAGGACCCACCAAAGGAGGTTTTTTTTTTTTGCTTTTTTTGCTTTTTTTGCCTTATAAGTCTCTTCTGCTGTGTTTTTCAGTGGGTTTTTTTTTTAGTGATAATCACTTGTTGGCCTGATAGGTGTATTGTGTCCAAATTTGGTGTCAATTCGCCTGGTGGTTTTTGAGTTACGTTAATCCCACAAACGAACATTACATTTTTATTTATATAGATTACTAGCTGTAACAGCCATGTGTTGCTGTGGCCAACCTTCCCTCCCTCTTTCTTGCCTCCTTCCTTCCTTCCTTCCTTTCTTTCTTTCTTTCTTTCTTTCTTTCTTTCTTTCTTTCTTTCTTTCTTTCTTTCTCTTCTTCCTTCTTTCTCTTTCCTTCCTTCCGTCTCCTTTATTCCTTCATTTCTTCATACATTCTCTCCTTCTCTTCCCTTTCTTCCCCTCCCCCTTTTCTTTCCCTGCCTTTCCCCCCCTTTCTTCCCCTTTTCTACCTATTCTTGGACTGCAACTCCCAGCAGTTCTTCTGATCAATCTACCTACCTACCTACCTACCTACCTATCTCTATCTAATCTATCTATCTTCTCAATCTGGAGGATTGCTAGGAATTGCAGTCCAGAAATAGGAAATATGCAGGGATTGGGATGCTCTCAAAGAGATCCAAGGAAAAGAAAGCTTGCAGTTTGGAAGCAGTGTATTTGGATCATCCTCCTCTCTTAAAGGGCCTGGTCTAGGGGATTCTGGGAGCTGTAGTCCTGAATAGAGTGTGGATATGCTATTATGTGTTTTGTTTGCCAGGGGGAGTCATTTTGCACATGCGCTGTAGCATCTTTTTGGTTTTTGGGCTTTTTAAGTCCCTTCTACTGTGCTTTTCAGTGTTCGTTTTGAGTAATGGTCACTTGTTGGCCTGATAGGTGTATTGTGTCTAAATTTTGTGTCAATTCGTCCAGTGGTTTTTGAGTTATGTTAATCCCACAAACAAACATTACATTTTTATTTATATACTAGCTGTCCCTTGCCACACATTGCTGTGGCCCAGTCTGTATATATGTTCTTTGTGTGTGTGTATATGTGTGTTTGCGTATATATATGTGGTTTTGCACATGCGTTGTAATTTTTTTTGCTTTTTAAGTTTCTTCTGCTATGTTTTTCAGTGTTTTTATGATTGATGGTCACTTGTTGGCCTGATATGTGTATTGTGTCCAAATTTCGTGTCAATTCGTCCAGTGGTTTTTGAGTTATGTTAATCCCACAAACGAACATTACATTTTTATTTACGAGGGGTATTTTTTAAGTAAGATCTGTTTGAACATAAGTACACAATGAAAGTTTATTTCAAAAAAGTAAATTTATTTTCAGAAAGTACATACTTCACTCTATTTTTCGACATAGTTGCCAAGTTTGTTCAAACACTTATCATACCTCTGAACCAATTTTAAAATACCCTCTTCAACTGAAGCCACCAAATCGTCTGTAATCAAAGAAGGGCGACCGGAGCGGTCCTCATCACGGACGTTGTCACGGCCATCTTTGAATTGTTGTACCCTCTTACGCACTTTGCTTTCACTCATAACAGTATCACCGTACACTTCACAAATCTGTCAATGAATTTCTGCAGTAGGCAGGTTCCTTGCTGACAAAAACCGTATCACTGAGAGAACCTCACATGGGGAGGGTGAGTTGATAGTCTTAAACATTTTTAAAGCACATAACAGAACCATACAGGTTAGCTACAGAGCGGAAACTGAGCACAGTTGTTCCCGAGGCATGCCGGTACACGACGCATGCGCTCGTTGCGGTATGCGCGCAAACTACTAGTGTCTACAACAAAACGGACCTTACTTAAAAAATATCCCTCGTATATAGATGATAATGCCATTGGCAAGTGCTTGGATGTCGAATAAATATGTCCGATACACTCATTTCTTTGTGTTTCTTTGCATCCCTCCCTCAGTGGTGTTTTCTCCGATGGAAAAGCCACGTACCTACTGGAGCCTCACGACTCACCTGAGCACCAAGAGGTAAGGAAAGGCTTGGCTTAAGCTGTAATTCCATCACTGCCACAGAGACGCTTCACTTGGATTTCATCGGCAGAGGTGAAAGGAAGGCCAAGGGAAACAGTATGTGGATTGCTTTTCCTTTTTTAAAATTCCCCCCTCACTCACCTCTCAATGCCGCTATGCTCTTGCAACTTGTTTAGGGCACAGGCAATAACTAAAGTAAAGGTCAGCGTGGGTTGTATGGGATAGAATGTTGGATTTATGATATGGAGCCCTGGGCTCAAGTTCTTGCTCGGTAATTGATTTTAGGGTTTTCATACCATCTCATGCTACTCTGTCTCACAAGGTCGTCACAAGGAAAAATCAGTAGAACCCCACAACTGCCGCTGTCATTTGCTTATTGGAAGATGAAAGGGATATACATATTAGAAAAGACTTTTGACACCTTGTGTGGGTGTCCCAGTGTTTACCCGCTCTGTTTGCCAAAAAAACAGACACGGATTGGGAAGATGAGAAAAACAAGGATTTATTAAAACATTTCTGTGCAGAAAAGGGACATGCAATGAGATGAATCCACAAATACTACATTTCTGAGAAACAAAGGAATTATTTGGTTTTATATCCCTGACTTTCAAGGTTGGAACTCTTCTATGACCTGAACCGTATACGGTGAAATCCCCTCTTGACTCTGCCCTGCCTCTTTTCCAGCAAGTGATCAATAGTTGAAACATTCACACCTAGCTCCAACAGACAAGAGTTCTTTGTCCCATCCTGGTCATTCCACAGATATATAAACCCATTTTCCTAGTTCCAACAGACCTCCCCTTTGGGGAGATGGTGGCGGGGTATAAATAAAGTTGTTTATTATTATTATTATTATTATTATTATTATTATTATCATCATCATCATCATCATCCTCTCACAACAAAAGATTGCCCCATACACTGCCAGGCCATCAAATGCTAATCAAGGTGTCAGTTGAAACATTCACACCTAGCTCCAGCAGACAAGAGTCCTTTGTCCCACCCTGGTCATTCCACAGATATATAAACCCTTTTTCCTAGTTCCAACAGACCTCACTACCTCTGAGGATGCTTGCCATAGATGCAGGCAATACGTCAGGAGAGAATGCCTCTAGACCATGGCCATACAACAACCCAGTGATTCCGGCCATGAAAGCCTTCGACAATAGAAGTGATCAATACATTGGGTTGCTGTGAGTTTTTCAGGCTGTATGGCCATGTGCCAGTAGCATTCTCTCCTGACATTTCACCTGTATCTGTGGCAAGCATCCTCAGAGGTTTGTTCAGAGGTCTGTTGGAAATGAGGAATATAGACTTCACTTGCTTCATTTTCAACAGACCTCTGAACAAACCTCTGAGGATGCTTGCCACTGTTGCCTGGGACACGGCCATACAACCTGAAAAACTCACAGCAACCCGGTGAATGCCGGCAATGTAAGCCTTTGACAACAGATCAATACATTCTTTGTATTGTCGAAGGCTTTCATGGCCAGAATCACTGGGTTGTTGTAGGTTTTTTCGGGCTATACGGCCATGTTCTAGAGACATTCTTTCCTGACATTTCGCCTGCATCTATGGCAAGCATCCTCAGATGTCACTACCTCTTGCAGCACACCCAAATACCTGGGAGTCACTCTGGATCGTGCTCTTACCTACAAGAAGCACTGCCTGAACATCAAGGAAAAGTGGGTGCTAGAAACAATATCATACAAAAGCTGACTGGCACAACCTGGGGATCACAACCAGATACAGTGAAGACATCCACCCTTGCACTGTGCTACTCTGCTGCTGAGTATGCATGCCCAGTGTGGAACACATCTCACCATGCTAAAACAGTGGATGTGGCTCTTAATGAGACATGCGCATTATCACGGGGTGTCTGCGCCCTACACCGCTGGAGAAATTACACTGCTTAGGCGGTATTGCACCACCTGACATCTGCCGGGAAGTAGCAGCCAATAGTGAAAGGACCAAGGCAGAGACATCTCCAGCTCATCCTCTGTTTGGGTATCAGCCAGCATGTCAACGATTTAAATCAAGAAATAGTTTTCTAAGATCTACAGAGACACTCGCTGGAACACCTCAGCAAGTGAGAGTCCAAAAGTGGCAGGCTCAAACCCAGAACCTCAACCAATGGCTGATACCAAATGAGAGACTCCCCCCGGGGCACACAGAGGACTGGGTGACTTGGAAGGCGCTGAACAGACTGCGCTCTGGCACCACAAGATGCAGAGCCAACCTTCAGAAATGGGTCTACAAAGTGGAATCCTCGATATGCGAATGTGGAGAGGAGCGAACCACTGACCACCTGCTGCAATGCAACCTGAGCCCTGCTACATGCACAATGGAGGACCTTCTTGCAGCAACACCAGAAGCACTCCAAGTGGCCAGATACTGGTCAAAGGACATTTAACCAACTACCAAACTCACAAATGTTGTATTTTATCTGTTTGTTTGCTTTGTTCTGTTAGAAATGTAATATAATTGACTGGTTGATCTGACACGACAGGTGAAACGTCAGGAGAGAATGCTTCTAGAACATGGCCTTATAACCCGAAAAAACCTACAACAACCCAATACATTCTTTCTTAGTTTATTGTCACATGGTGACTAAATGCCCCAAATACTTTCTATCAAGCTTTTCACTTTCCTGGCGTTTTAAAACTGAGATAAGGAGTTAACAACCACAGGGATAGAATATCCGCACTGCTAGTTTGCTTAAAACAGTTTTTTGTTCAACCCTTCTCATTTAATGTGCACGCATATTGTTCAATTTACCATTTCAGTGCATTCAAATGGCTTTGTTTGCTTCAAAATGTGCCTCCTTTCTACTCTCAGAGGCAACATTACATGTAGATTTTTTTCAATCCAGCGGAGGGAAATTAGTGCCTGCATTATATTTGGGAGGAGGCTCAAGGCACACAACTTAAACCTCTCCGCAAAGAAGCAGGAGGCCTCCCAGAGCCATGAAACTAGGTGCATTGGGTTCCTACCTGGTGCTCAGGAATCCTCTACTCAGGCTTTCTCTCCCTCCCAATTCAGCCTGGTATATTTCCATCCACCCCGTTGCATCCTTTAAGGAGTTTCCCAGGGTGCCTCCTTTTATCCCGGTTGCCATGACAGCAAATGGAAGGAGATTCCAATTGCGTCTTTTCCCTTTCTTCCTTGGAGAGCCCTCAGCCTCCACACTCTCGCCCCTCATTTATTCCAACATATGTATATTAATTTCACACATTTCCCTCCAACTCAGTGTGTCATTTAAAGTCTGGTATGGATACACCAGGAGGGATTTGGCACAATAATGTACAGGCTATACATTTGGAGCTTGGGGGAAAAAAAACCCTCAAAGTAATATATAATTGAACTGGGGCTTCCCATCGAGGTCTGGAATTCATTTCCAACACCAGAACATTCTGCATTACGACATATGAATCAGCAACGGAGGCAAGAGAGCTCCTCTTTGGAGCAGGGTGTTCTTTCCTGCAGCGCTGCTGAATAACTCCAGAAAGTCTCAAGCAGACATGAAGGGTCTTGTATGTGCCTGAATTTTACTCACCTGCAAGAGTGTTTCAAAAGGGAATTAAGCAAAGTTGTGAAGGATAGGCCTATTGGTAACTAATAGTCTTAATGTCTATTTAGTAGGACATTTGCAGAGGTTAGGGATGCAGGACTTCCCTAAATGCATATTTAAAGACATACTTTTTGAAGCTGAGAAAATGCCTCTCTAGGTGATGGGGAGATATTGGAAATATAGATATTTATACATATATTGTATATACATTACAAGCACTGAAATGTAAGAAAAATCAGGTTCTCTCTGTATTAGAAAGCCAAGCTGACAGGCCAGAAAGAATGCTGAAGGAGATCTGTGTTTTTATTTGTCATGTCAGGGCAACCAGTCAATTATATTACATTTCTAACAGAGCAAAGCAAACAAACAGACAGAATACAAAATTTGTGAGTTTGGTAGTTGATTAAATGTCCTTTGACCAGTATCTGGCCACTTGGAGTGTTTCTGGTGTTGCTGCAAGAAGGTCCTCCATTGTGCATGTGGCAGGGCTCAGGTTGCATTGCAGCAGGTGGTCTGTGGTTTGCTCTTCTCCACACTCGCATGTCGAGGATTCTACTTGGTAGTCCCATTTCTGAAGGTTGGCTCTGCATCTTGTGGTGCCAGAACGCAGTCTGTTCAGTGCCTTCCAAGTTGCCCAGTCCTCTGTGTGCCCAGGGGGGAGTCTCTCATTTGGTATCAGCCATTGGTTGAGGTTCTGGGTTTGAGCCTGCCACTTTTGGACTTTCGCTTGCTGAGGTGTTCCAGCGAGTGTCTCTGTAGATCTTAGAAAACTATTTCTAGATTTAAGTCACTGACGTGCTGGCTGATACCCAAACAGGGGATGAGCTGGAGATGTCTCTGCCTTGGTCCTTTCACTATTGGCTGCTACTTCCCGGTGGATGTCAGGTGGTGCAATACCGGCTAAGCAGTGTAATTTCTCCAGTGGTGTGCGCAGACACCCCTGATAATGCGGCATGTCTCATTAAGAGCCACATCCACTGTTTTAGTGTGGTGAGATGTGTTCCACACTGGGCATGCATACTCAGCGCAAGGGTAGATTTCGCAAGGGCAGATGTCTCACTGTGTCTGGTTGTGATCCCCAGGTTGTGCCAGTCAGCTTTCGTATGATTGTTTCTAGCACCCACTTTTTGTTTGATGTTCAGGCAGTGCTTCTTGTAGGTCAGAGAATGGTCCAGAGTGACTCCCAGGTATTTGGGTGCGCTGCAATGCTCCAGTGGGATTCCTTCCCAGGTAATCCTCAGAGGTCGGGATGCTTGTCTGTTCTTAAGGAAAGGCACATGTCTGTGTTTTAGATGGGTTGGGGATCAGCTGGTTTTCCCTGTAATAGGCAGTAAGAGCACCTAGAGCTTCGGAAAGCTTCTGTTCTACCATCTCAAAGCTCCCTGCTTGAGCGGTAATGGCACGATCATCAGCATAGATGAAACTCTCTGTCCCTTCTGGCAGTGGCTGGTCATTTGTGTAGATGTTGAACATGGATGGAGCAAGCACGCTCCCCTGAGGCAGGCCGTTGAAAGGGGGAGAAGAAGGGGGCATGTTATCTTTACAGAGACTGGTACAGCATAGCACAGGCTATACCTTCTTACTTCTAAAAGTAAGGAATCTCCCTCCCCCCTGACAGGTCAAAGGTAGGCCCCTGAGAGATGTAAGCTGCTCATTAGAAAAAATACTGAGACATGCCTCTTGCATGTAGGAAGATATAATTTGATATTTCTATGATGCTAAAGGTGACGTAGTGATGATGTTAATGTATGTAGAAGCATGTTTCTTTGTTTGCCTGAATTTGAAGATGTATAAAAGGGAAAGACAACGCCTTTATCCTCACTCTGGTTGGCTTTTGAACATAATTCCACCGCAGGGTCTCAGATGACAATAAACATACTTTTCTGCCTCCAGAAAGGATCACTCTTGGTATTATCTCTCCTATCTGCTGCTACATAGGAACCTCACAGGATCCATCTACACTGCCATATAATCCAGATTATCAAAGCAGAAAATCGACGTTTATCTGTTTTGAACTGGAATATATGAGTCTACACTTCCATATAATCCAGTTCAAAGCAGATAATCTGGATTTTACATTGCAGTGTAGATGGGGCCTAAGTAGTCCTAGAGATTATCAGCACCCAGCAGAAGGTGATCCTAAGAGTTGTACTGGAGACCGTATTGATCAAATACATGTACAATCAAATTTACAAACATTAAATCTACAAATGTAGAGGGCTGATTGTTTATTATCTCAATTGAAAGAAGAAGTACGTTGAAGTCACCAGTTCCTATCTGATTTTGGAAACTAAACAGTCTGTGACAGGGAGACCAGGAAAGGAAAGAGATAGATTAGAAGAATACAAAAATGAGAACTGAGAGATGCACAGGTATCTGTGGGTTAAGGAAAGAGAAATAAAGAGAGTTCTGGAAGAGTTCAGTGGTTGAACATGCGTTTGATGTGCAGAAGGTCCTACGATCAATCCCTGCCACCAAAAGCTAAAAAGATCCAGCATTAGGAGTATGATGAAGTCTTATTCTAAGATTGGCTCTATACTGCAATATAATCCAGTTTCTGAATCTGGATTATTTCCTTTGAATTAGATTATATGAGTCTACACTGACATATAATCCAGTTCAAAGCAGATAATCTGGATTCAGAAACTGGATTACATGGTAGTGTAGATGGAGCCTTAGTCTCTGGAGAACTACCTCCTGCTGGTAGATCTGAACTGAGATAGGGGGAGGGTTTATTCATACTACACAAATATAGCATGATGACTCCACTTTTATTGCCATGGATTCATCCTATGGAATCCTGCGGTTGTTAGTTTGGAAGGGCACTAGACTTTTCTGGCAGAAAATTCCAAATATCTCTCCCTGAACTGCATATCTCAGGATTCCATAGAACATAACAATATCATTTAAAGCAGAATTATAGCACCATGGTTGCATAGTATGGATGAACCTGTGTGGCAGTTCCATGAGTCTGAAAACTGTTATGGAATGCAAATGGTAAGGGGGTGAAATGTGCTATTGTCAGATTAAAAATGGAGATAGATTTGAAAGATGGAATTGCAGAAATGGGAGAGCAGTGCAGGACGGAGAGAAACCTGTGGGTGACTGAAATATGGGGTTGCAGATAGCTTTTTTTTAATATAAGGAAGCAATAAGTGGAATAAGAGAGATGGGGATTAGGTTGCAGTCCTGCAGTTGTACATAATGTGTGTGTATGCTGTGCAATGAAGAGAAGAGGAAAGACTACTTGCGGTAGTCTAAAGACAAGAGACAGAGAGAGAAAGAAAAGGGTTAATGGGGATTGGGTATAATTTTCAAACTCTTAAAGCCATCTGAGTTAGTCATAATGTAGGATTAGTCATAGTGCAGATTCTACCACCCCTCCAAGCACTGAACATCTCTTTGAAGGTCTGAAGATGATCAATACCCATAAGATCTTATTATACAACTAGGAATTCTCATTTGTTTGGGATTTCAACAGCATGGGAAAATCTTCCTATAACTTAAGCACCTTTTCCCAGTATTGGGTCCATTCTGCCCTTATTGAGTATCTGAAACTTCTGTAAAGAGGACTGTCAGAGTGATATGAACCATGCCCTCTTGAGATGTTGGAATATAGAATATGTACTGGGTTGTTGTAGGTTTTTTTGGGCTATATGGCCATGTTCTAGAGGCATTCTTTCCTAACGTTTCGCCTGCATGTATGGCAAGCATCCTCAGAGGTAGTGAGGTCTGTTAGAACTAGGAAAAAGGGTTTATATATCTGTGGAAAGACCAGGGTGGGACAAAGGACTCTTGTCTGCTGGAGCTAGGTGTGAATGTTTCAACCACCTTGATTAGCATTTGATGGCTTGGCAGTGCCTGGGGCAATCTTTTGTTGAGAGGTGATTAGATGTCCCAGATTGTTTCCTCTCTGTTGTTTTGGTTCATCAGGTGCTCTGCTACGGCTGACTTCTTTGGTTGAACGGAACTGCAGACTACTTCAACCAGAGAAGTCAGCCGTAGCAGAGTACCTCATGAACCAACCTGGACACAGCATATTATTTGAGAAAACAGAAATGCTGGACCACTCTAACAACCACTATGTCAGACTACACAGAGAAGCCATTGAAATCCACAAGCGTGTGGACAATTTGAACAGAAAGGAGGAAACAATGAAAATGAACAAATCTGGCTACCAGTATTAAAAATCTCTAAAATTACAATGGCAAAACAACAGAGAAGAAACAATCTGGGATATCTAATCACCTCTCAACAAAAGATTGCCCCAGGCACTGCCAGGCCATCCAATGCTAATTAAGGTAGTCAGTTGAAACATTCACACCTAGCTCCAGCAGACAAGAGTCCTTTGTCCCACCCTGGTCATTCCACAGATATATAAATCCACTTTCCTAGTTCCAACAGACCTCACTACCTCTGAGGATGCTTGCCATAGATGCAGGCGAAACGACAGGAGAGAATGCCTCTAGAACATAGCCATATAGCCCAAAAAAACCTACAACAACCCAGTGATTCCGGCCATGAAAGCCTTCGACAATACATAGAATATGTACTTCTGGTTACTATTCCTTTGTTGCAATCAAACTAGATATAAGAAAACCATGTTTAATGTGTCATAACATGAGAAATGTATTTGTATAATATTTATTATGGGAATAAAAAGGATTGCTATACACACTTTCTTCTCCTAAAAAGATACATACCTGAGCGCCTTCTAATTCTTTCTCCTTGCCTTCATTAGGGGCCACTCCCTCACCAAATCTACCAGACACCTGTGCCTCGCACTGCCCAGAACTGCACAGAACCAGGTAAATATGACTGATTTTCTTTAAAAAAGACTTGCCACCTGTCCTTAGTTGCCATTCAATAACATCCTTAATACAATGTTGAAAGTAAAAGAAAAATGCTTTACTTCAGCAAACACAAAGGATAAGCAAATGTAGTTGAAAAATGCAAAAGAAGTCTTAATGCAGACGCAAATTAAAGTCTCTTACAAAGTCCCAAAAGAAATAGTAGTCTTTCATCAGACAACGGGCAATGATCAGTAAGTCCTTAGCAGCAAACACAAAGCAGATTCAATTGGAGTGAAAACATCAGCATCAGAGTTGTTGTTATCAGCGAAAACGGACTGCTTCTGTTTCTGATTTATAGCCCTAAATTCCCCACGCAAGAGGTGCTAGGGTGTCTTCCAATTAGCTCAGTGTTTCTAGCAGCTATTCTAGCTGAACGCCATCTGAGCTCTGTCTCCTTTCATCTCTCTAGAAATGTGGGCACTTGCAAACTCTCATCGTCTGATTTTTCTTCTCCCTCCAATTCCTGAGCATTTCCCTGCTCTCCTTCCTCTTCCGAAGATGAGAAATCCCTAACACAACCTTATCACACTTACACTCTCCCCACAATTTTATAAACAGCCACCCTATATTTATTGGGAGTCACGGCTGCCGTCAGATGACGTCTGCCCTCCATCACCAAACTACAGAGCAGTCGTGAAAATCTGTAATCAGGGGTAGAAATTGTGAATTTGGCCAAAATAGCACCAAGGATCTGTTATTTTGGCTAAAAACAATATGTGATGGGTCCATGACAGTGTCCGCTCTGTTTCGGAGCTTGCCATGGTGAAAAAGGGCATTCCGATGGGCAGTCCTTAGCAGCGAGATGTCATCCCTCTTTACAGAAGTGCATATTAACTTCCTCCCTTTGCAATTTTTTAAAAAAAATTATTAATGAAAGATATAGCATAATATATGAATTGTAGAACAGAGAACAAACCAGCAAAGTGTTCCTTTACTGGTTTTTTCCAATTATAATATTGTACTTAGCAGGGAGCTATCATCCCTGTTTATAGAAATGATTACTCTTTCCTATGGAAAGAAATGGTTTTAAACAGCATCCCTGTTTCAAGAGTCCAGTGGATTTAGATGCATAACAATTGGATCCCATTGAAAGCAATGTTTCAAAACAGAGTCTCTGCCTCAAGGATACAATGGGTTTTACTACGGAATGGATCTCATGGAAAGCAATGGTTTAAAACAGCGTCCCTGTCTCAAGGGTCCAATGGGTTTAGAAGCAGAACAATTGGCTCTCATTGAAAGCAATGTTTCAAAACAGAATCTCTTCCTCAAGGATCCATTGGGTTTTAATACAGAATAATTGGATCTCATGGAAAGCAATGGCTTAAAACAGCATCCCTGTTTCAAGGGTCCAATGGATTTAGATACAGAACAATTGGATCCCATTGAAAGCAATGTTTCAAAACAGCATCTCTGCCTCAAGGATCCAATTGATTTTAATACAGAATAATTGGATCTCATGGAAAGCAATGATTTGAAACAGCGTCCCTGTTTCAAAGGTCCAATGGGTTTAGAAGCAGAACATTTGGCTCTCATTGAAAGCAATGTTTCAAAACAGAATCTCTTCCTCAAGGGTCCAATGGGTTTTAATACAGAATAATTGGATCTCATGGAAAGCAATGGTTTAAAACAGCGYCCCTGTCTCAAGGGTCCAATGGGTTTAGAGGCAGAATAATTGGGCCCCATTGAAAGCAATGCTTAAAAACAGAATATCTGCCTCAAAGCTCCAATTGATTTTAATATAGAAAGATTGGATCTCATGGAAAGCAAACGGTTTAAAACAGTGTCCCTGTTTCAAAGGTCCAATGGGTTTAGAGGCTGAACTATTAAATCCTATTGAAAGCAATGTTTCGAAACAGAGTCTCTGCCTCAAGGGTCCAATGGGTTTTAATACAGAATAACTGGATCTCATGGAAAACAATGGTTTAAAACAGCGTCCCTGTCTCAAGGGTCCAATGGGTTTAGAGGCAGAACTATTGCATCCCATGGAAAGGGATTCAGGCAGATTTGCAGAAAGAAAAACAGCTGGGAATGGAGCCTTATTGCCTATGTGTGATGAGGAAGAGAGTGGGCACCTACTGGGAAGCACTAAAAATCCGATGAGAGGAGAACGAATGAAAATGAATGAAGGTACGATCAGTTCCCGATTCTTCTCTATACTTAACTTAAAGATGCTTCTCAATATTGTCGTCTGATAAGGTCCTTGGTTATTGATGCTGTGGAGAAAATGGGCCAACTTCTGACACTTATATGTCGGTGTGGATTACCTCCAGTTCTCTTTTCTAACTCCCCAAAGTTTTCAGGAGTACAAAAATTGTTTTTGAAATTTTTGCATTATTATTATTATTATTATTATTATTATTATTATTATTATTTGCAAACATGGTAGATATGCCCCCCTCCCCTTTTAAAGGTCAGATTAGGACATTTTGAATTCTCAATCTCTAAATTAAAGCGACTGAAAGTAAGGCACACTGCATGTGAAATGTTTATGCGTGGAGCTCTAATAAGAAAAGGAGCTTTGCTTTAATTAAAGCTAAAGTTAAATCTCATAAAGTAATCACGGTTGTCAAACATGCTTGATGACGGTGTCCTAGCCCCTGAGTCCCCATCCGCCAAGGGCAAAAGGTCTCACTCCTCCGCCCTCCTTGATTTCCAATTTCTAAGAAAAACACGGTTAGCCAGAGAGCAGCTGCAATGATCCAGATGGCCGTTCGATGGCCAAGATGCTCTTTCCCTTCAAGCAGTAGGTCAGCCAATCTGGAATGTGTTGGAGAGCACAGGTGCAGCCTGGGACTGCAATCTGGAGTTTAAAAACTGCTTCGGGGTCAGACTTTTCGTTCGTTCTATTCCTTGGGACAGTTATAGTCAAATTGTACTTATGTAGGTAATTTGCCTTTCTTCTACCTTTGCATTTCTTCTATCTTTTGCTCTAATTATCAACTTGCTGAGTCTTTCCTAACCGTCTGTTTCTCTGCTTTGTAGTTCTGTTGGTTGTTGTTTGACAGTGATTAGGAAAAAGAAAAGAAAATGAATGAATGAATGAAAGAAAAGGAAGATATTCAGTCATCTTTTTTACATTGCTCAGTAATCCCATTTGGCACCTGGACAGCGAAGTTTCTAATTTGGATCATAGGCTGGATCTACGCTGCCATATAATTCAGTCTGGAACTACATTACAGAGTTCTTCTGTTTATTATGTATTTATTTGCCATATTTACCATAAGAGCAACACTCACAGAGAAACCTCTGAAATCCACAAGCATGTGGACAATTTGAATGGAATGGAGGAAACCATGAAAATGAACAAATCTGGCTACTATTATTAAAGAAAACTCTAATCTCAGGACAGTATATAAAGAGCGACACTCAAAAATCAGGGGAACTCCTGACATGAAACCATCAGAGCCAGCTAACACCTCCCAACAAAGGATCCCCCAGGTAGCAACCAGCCAAACTTTGAAGCTGCAAGGCCATTAAACGATAATCAAGGTGACCAATTGCAACATTTAGACTTGCCTCAGTGTGAATGTTGCAAGAGTTCTTTCTCCCACCCTGGACATTCCACAGATATATAAACCTCATTTGCCTAGTTTCCAACAGATCTCACAACCTCTGAGGATGCTTCCCATAGATGTGGGTGAAATGTCAGGAGAGAATGCTTCTGGAATATAGCCGTACAGCCCGGAAAACTCACAGCAACCCAGTGATTCTGGCCATTAAAAGCCTTCAACAAAACATTCCACTTGATGTCTGATATTTATACTATCTTTTTTTCTCTAGGGTGTTTATTTGCTGCACTAAACAACCACATTCCTACTGGGCTCCCCAAACTGCGGCGTCGAAGGCAGGTACGGATGTCGAAGGCAGGTAGGATCTAATTAGGTTCATGGTTAGAAGGATCGAGAGTCTTAAGATTGTATCTTAGTGGGAAAGGATACATTTTTGCATTTTGATTTTTCCAGGTTGAATTTCGGAGAGTTTCATAGTCTGGATATGGGCAGAGGAGAATGTTTCTTATAGATTATGGACAAGGAATTCAGGAATATACAATCTGTGGCTGTAGATGGCTGTTGAAGGGGCAGAAAAGAGAAAGTTTTAAAAGTGCAAAGTTGTAGCCTTGTCCTCTTTCTCCCTTCCCCAGGTTCACCGCGGCCATCGGACCGTCCACAGCGAGACCAAATTCATTGAACTCATTATAGTCAATGACCATCAGCTGGTGAGTAATAAACATCAAATCATAGAATCATAGAGTTGGAAGAGGCCTCGTGGGCCATCCAGTCCAACCCCCTGCCTAGAAGCAGGAAAATTGCATTCAAAGCACCCCTGACAGATGGCCATCCAGCCTCTGTTTAAAAGCCTCCAAAGAAGGAGCCTCCAGCACACTCCGGGGCAGAGAGTTCCACTGCTGAACAGCTCTCACAGTCAGGAAGTAAAATGTTTAGATGTTGGGCAGAAATAGGTGTTTGGTTGCAAATCATTTTGAAAAACTATCTATACTGCGATATAATCCCAATTATCTGCTTTGAACTTGATTATATGAATTTACACTGCTATATAATCCAGTTCGAAGCAGATAATTTAGATTTTATATGGCAGTGTAGAAAAGGCCTGAGTCACCATAGATGCAGATATAGTCAATGTTTGCCCCACTCTCATACCACATCTGATTTCCCAACTCTTTTTTTAATGGGCCAATTTATTCTCTGCTAGCCACTGACAATTCAGAGTGAATTGTTTATTACTTATTTATTATTTATTATTTATTTATTTGCAGCTTTTATATTCCGCCCTTCTCACCCCACAGGGGACTCAGGGCGGATTACAGTGTACACATATATGGCAAACATTCAATGCCAATTTTTGACATACAAACATATACAGACATACACAAAGGCTATTTAACTTTTTCTGGCCGCCAGGGGAGCTGTCGCTTTCATCGTCCATCCGCGACGTTGATGAAGCACTTCCGCATTCCCCGCATACTTCCCCGCTGGAATGCTTTGCCGGAGTCTTCTTTATGGCCTCATAAATCAGTTAATTTAGACTCCCCACACTTTAAGGTGGTACCTAATTTTCTACTTGACAGATGCAACTGTCTTTCGGGTTGCAAAGGTCGACAACAGGCTACACAATTGGTTGGAAACCCACTCCAACCCGGGCTGGCTTCGAACTCATGACCTTTTGGTCAGAGTGATCTTAATGCAGCTGACACTCAGCCAGCTGCGCCGCAATCCCGGTGCCCACAATCCCGGTGCTTTCTGAATCAATGCAGAGAATAATGTAATTCTGATCAAAATGAAACCTATATACAACCAGCATCCTATGTGAGCCCATAGCTAGCAGACCCCTGCCCACTTTCCTCCGCAGTTCCAAATATTGGAGTGCTGCATGTGTATTCAAGTACATATGCACTGAAATTTGTATCTGTGTGGTGTTGAACTATGCAGCTCACACTGAATGCTACTCGAACAGCTGTGAAGGTTGTATACCCTGAATTAGGTCAAACCAGAATTCAATTCACGGCATTGGCTTCTTTACAAACTAATTAAAATGAGACTTACAGTATCCACATAGCTCAATCAAATCGGAATGCTATTCAAGTTAAGAGGCTAGCCAGATGTAGCACGCAAAAGAGAAGTCACAGCTGCTTTTTCACTGACATCATGAACTTGGCTTTGCCATTTGCATTAGAAACACGCTGCCAGCAAGTCAAATGCTGGCTTCGTGAACTGTTTCCCACTTCAAACAGATTTGAGTACCTTTGGTCTTCCTTTTTGCATCAGGCCGGACATTTACTTTTTGTCTTTTTTTTTTAAAAAAAGTCCAAAATGCATGTGTTCATCATATAAAATTATTTTCAGCCATCTATCTATATATAAATGCTCTGTTTGTTTTGAGTGACATCATAACTCAAAATCCACTGGACGATTTGCCACCAAATTTGGCCACAAGACACCTACTAACCCAGTGGTTCTCAACCTTCCTAACGCTGCGACCCCTTTATATAGTTCCTCATGTTGTGAAGACACCCAACCCTAAAATTATTTTCGTTGCCACTTCATAACTGGAATTTTGCTACTGTTATGAATCGTTATGTAAATATCTGATAGGCAGGATGTATTTTCATTCTCTGGACCTTGGGAGTTGTAGTTGCTGGGATTTATAGTTCACCTACAATCAAAGAACATTCTGAACTCCACCAGAGATAGAATTGACCCAAACTTGGCACACAGAACGCCCATGACCAGCAAAAAATAATGAAAGTGTTAAGTGTGCATTGGCCTTGAGTGTGGGAGTTGTGGTTCACCTATCTCCAGAAAGCACTGTGGGCTCAAACAATGATAGATCTGGACTAAACTTGGCACAAATACTCAATATGCCCCAATATGAACACTGTTGGGAGTTTGGGAAAAATAGACCTTGACATTTTAGAGTTGTAATTGCTGGGATTTATAGTTCACTGACAATCATAGAGCATTCTGAACCCCACCAACGATAGAATTTGGCCAGACTTCCCACACAGAACTCCCATGTCCAGCAGAAAATACTATTAAGGTATAAAACATCAAAACATATAAAACAATATACACAGAACATAGAAAACCAAACATAATGACAGAGAGCAGGCCGCATGTACATAAAATTATTTAAAAAGAGCATTCTGAACTCCACCAATGATGGGATTGAATCAAACTTGGCACAAAGGGATCCCACGACCAACAGGAAATACTGGAAGGGTTTGGTGGGCACTGACCTTTAGTTTTGGAGTTGCTATTCACCTACATCCAGAGACTCAAACAGTGAAGGATCTTGACCAAACTTGGCACAAATACTCTATATGCCCAAATATGAACACAGATGAAGTTGGGGGGAAATAGACCTTGACATTTGGGAGTTGTAGTTACTGGGATTTATAGTTCACCTACAATCAAAGAGCACTCTGAACCCCACCTACGATAGAATTTCCACACAAAACCCCCATGACCAATAGAAAATACTTTGTTTTCTGGTGGTCTTTGGAAAAATACAGTAGATGTACAAGCTCCATATTGTGCCTCGTTTTTTTTCAGTTTGAACAGCTGCGCCGCTCCGTTATCCTTACCAGCAACTTTGCAAAGTCTGTGGTGAACCTTGCAGATGTGGTGAGTATAGGTTTCATTGGTGCTCTTTCTAAAATGGGACACTATGCCGTCCCTCCAGAAGTTGAGATTTGCAGAGGCAAAGCATTACCTGTTACCTGGAAGGGGACTTCAAGTGCCCATCGGACCTTTCCAATTAGTATTGGACTACTCAGACTATTTGGTGTTTGTGACAGTTTTCTGTGTATTCTTTCCTAACACTGTTCTTTTCACTTTCCCAACTGCTTGCAATTAGAGTGGGTCCTTCGTAGCATCTTTGGTCCCAGGATGCCCAGTAGATATCAAAATCAGTGAATGTTCACATCATATTAAATACAATTGTTCTGTCGTGCGCTGGGCCTGTAAAGAATTTCCTTTGAAACTGGACGTGCAACCTTTGCCCAGTGGGAAGCCAGGGGGCCCAAGGAGAAGTTCTCAGAGGTTTTCCACCACAAATAGTCTTTAGATGGCTTGTAAAGTACAACAAAGTATTTTATTAATGAACAATCAAACAGAAACTTCTCTTGCCTTCAGTAAAGTTAAACAAATAATTCCAGGCTTTTTGGTAACTGGTGAATTCCTAATCTTGCCCACGAAGGTCAGGCAAATGTCTTCAATAACTTCTTTAAAGGAAAATCTCCTTTTTAACTTCTCCCAGGCTGACTGTAATCTAACCCTTACTGATGTGGGCTCTGCTACCAGGTCGAACTGCGTCTCGAACGCCGAGTGGACCTACCAGTAAGGCAGTAGACTCTCCAGCTGGAGTTCTTTGGTTTTTAGGGCTGTTTTCCTGGAAATCTTTGGAGACTCTTAAGACTGTTTTCCCCCGGAAAGTCCTCAAAGCTTTGGGGAGGCTTCCCTGGAGTTCTCTGGTTTGCTCTTAAGACTGTTTCCCCCCGGAAAGTCTTGGATGCTCTTAAGACTGTTTCCCCCCCGGAAAGTCTTAAGGGTTGAAGCTTTTGTACAGGGGAAGCTTGCACATGTCCTGTACATTAGCTTTCCTTGCTGAGACTAACTAAAAATGGCTCCCTTCCCTTCCCAATTGCTCTGAGCAAGGGGCGGAACCAAAACTTAACGATGATGGACAGGTGACTTGCCCTATGACTGCAACCAAAAGAAGCCACCTATCTGCAGAATCCTTAGACTGCAAGCAAATATTTAATACAAAGCAAATAAAATGGGAGCTCCTGGTACAGCCGAACCAGAACAACAATGGTGTCCCTTATATGAAATGGCAAGAGCAAAGTTTATTTTTGGGATTAAAAAATACAAGGCATGGATGGTTCAAGGCATTTATGGATACAGAACAAGTGAATATGGAGGATCAATTGTATGTTTTTAACTGAACCGCAATTTATCTGATTTCCTATCCTTTAATATATATTTATTTATTTTGACACATATTAACTGACTTCGCATTCTTTATACATATATATATATTAGCTAAAAATAAAACTGAAACAAGTTATGTGACACTGCAATAAATTAACGGTCGAGACTGCCTTCCTCATTCATGTGGTTTAGGGGTGGAGGGGTGGAAAGTTCTGAGAGTGCCTTGGACCGCGAGAAGATCCAACCAGTCCATACTTCAGGAAATAAAGCCCGACTGCTCATTGGAGGGAAGGATATTAGAGGCAAAGATGAAATATGGCCACATCATGAGAAGAAAGAAAAGCTAAGAGAAGACAATGATGCTGGGGGAAATGGAAGGAAAAAGGAAAAGGGACCGACCAAGGGCAAGATGGATGGATGGCATCCTTGAAGTGACTGCATTGACCTTGAAGGAGCTTGGGTTGGTGATGGCCGACAGGGAGCTCGGGCGTGGGCTGGTCCATGAGGTCACGAAGAGTCGGAAATGACTGAATGAATGAACAACAACAACAAAAGAGGCAGGAGAGGCAGGCAAAGCCCCAAGGACCAAGGTGGTTGTGGTAGCTAGCAGAGGAAGTTGGGTAGAGACCCCATTCCGCCTGTGCTCATTGCCCTAGTCAACTTCCCAGACTTTTCCCTGTTGCATCTGACACCCACGGTTGAAGGGGAATGAAGCAGGTGGGGACCAAATCAGTAACTTGGCAGCTAGCAGAGGACGGAGGGAAGAGGTCTTTCCAACTGTCGCTCTGGCCAAGTTCCCCCAAAAACCCACAGAGCATCTGCCTCTGACGGTGGTTGGCAGCGGCCATGCAGATTGCTGATGCTCTCACCGCCTGGAATCCAAAGCTGTTGTGTGAATTTGTGGGCTTTGAAGGGGTGGTGGCAAACCCATAAAAAAAATCAAATCCACAAGTATGAAACTTGCGATTGAGGAGCGCTAACTACACAATACATTGCTAAAGCACAATAATTACAACCCAAGTGAACGCTAATTGTCTACATCACAAAAGAACTCTGCTCGCCCACAAACTGCAATGAGAAGAAAAACCAGTTAGTTAAAAAGTATTATTCTACTCTTATAGATTTAAATAGGCACACTTGCTAAAATTACAATAAACCATCACCCTGCTTTCTTTTTTTTTCTGATGCCAGATCTATAAGGAACAGCTGAACACACGTATTGTCCTTGTCGCCATGGAGACATGGGCCTCCGGGGACAAGATCCAGGTAGACGAAGATTCCCTGGAGACTCTGAGCGAGTTCATGAAGTATCGTCAGGATGGTCTTCCGGAGCACAGTGATGCCGTACACCTCTTCTCGTAAGTTTCGAATGCGACCTTGGACACTTTTATCCTAGAAACACAGTTTCTAAGTTTTCATCTAAACTGTGATAAGATGATAGGGGGACATTAACAGGTGGCTAGTGCTGATCTCTGCATCATTTAAAGCTTGGTGTGTTGATTTCTGCATGTTGTGTTGCGATGAAGCAGATATGTATCCCATTTTCTATACTTGGGACTCTCCCGGGACCATTCAGGCTGCCAAAACTGCTGAAAACAAAGCTAGGCAACAGTGATATCACTAGGGTTGGTGTCATCCAATGCGGTGACTCATGGAGTCATCACATTGACCTCCTACTGTTCAAGAACATATCATGATATTGTTGAAATACTGAAAATTTGAGAAAATCGGTGACTATTTTTAAAAAGCAGCAATGAAAACAACTGAATACAGTTTTAGTTTGTTGTTGTTGTTGTTGTCGTGTCAGGAGTGACTCCTGGTGTGAGAGAATTGGCCGTCTGCAAGGACGTTGCCCAGGGGACGCCTGGATGATTTGATGTTTTATCATCCTTGTGGGAGGCTTCTCTCGTGTCCCCGCATGAGGAGCTGGAGCTGATAGAGGGAGCTCATCCGCCTCTCCCCGGATTCGAACCTGCGACCTGTTGGTCTTCAGTCCTGCCAGCACAGGGGTTTAACCCACTGCGCCACCGGGGGCTCTCACAGTTTTAGTGCATGCAGATGAAAACATGTGAGTCAAAGCAACATTGTCATTGGACAATGACAACTCTGATTGGAGTTAATGTGCATTCAAAAGATCAAAAAGTAAATTGGTGTAGAGATTTATTTATTTGTTTGTTTGTTTACAATATTTATAGCCTGCCTTTCTCAGCCATACGGTGACTCAAGGCGGGTTACATATTGGCACAATTCGATATCAGGCATTTATAAAAGTGCCATTAAAAACAATCAACATTACAATATAAAACATAAATAAAAAATGCTAAAGCATATCATCTTTGGTGTCATCTTGTTAAAAATGTTATCCAGTAACATCGTCTGGCCATTCTATGTTCATCATTTATAGATCCGTGTTATCTATTTCGCTGCATTCTCAAAAACTTGCTCAAAGAGCCAGGTCTTTCCTTTTTTCGGAAAGTCAGGAGGGAGGGGGCCGATCTAATATCCCTGGGAGGGAGTTCCATGGCTGGGGGGCCACCACTGAGAAGGCACTGTCCTTTGTCTCTGCCAATCACACTTGCAAGGCAGACGGCATCAAGAGCAGGGCCTCCCCAGACAATCTTAAGCTTCTAGATGGTTCATAGGAGGAGATACGTTCGGATAGGTAAGCTGGGCCAGAATTGTTTAGGGCAGGGGCCCTCAAACTAAGGCCTGGGGGCCAGATACAGCCTTCCAAGATCATTTACCCGGCCCTCGCTCAGGGTCAACCTAAGTCTGAAACCATTTGAAAGCAAACAACAACAGCAATCCTATCTCATCAGCCAAAAGCAGGCCCACACTTCCCATTGAAATACTAATAAGTTTGTATTTGTTAAAATAGTTCTTCGTTTTAATTATTATATTGTTTTTCAGTGTTTTTTGCACTACAAATAAAATACGTGCAGTGTGCATAGAAATTCATTCATTTTTTTAAAAAACATAATCCGGTCCTCCAACAGTTTGAGGGACTGTGATCTGGCCCTCTGTTTAAAAAGTTTGAGGACCCCTGGTTTAGGGGTTTATCGACTAAAGCCAGCACTTTGAATTGTGCTCGGTAGCAAATTGGCAGCCAGTGGAGCTGATGCAACAGACGAGTAGTTTTACCCTTATAGGTGTGACTGTGTATAGTGCATGCGAGCTGGGCTTGGGAAAAATTCTTTTTGGGGTTATATCAAATCACAGGGGTATTTTTATAACATTGAAACACTGCGCAATTTCTTAAATACATAACACTATATAACAAAATTTGAAAAAGTTTCTGTTCCTGTTTTGAACATTTTATTTCCTGTTTCATTGTGTAGCACTTACTTTGAAATTAGTTGCTCTACTCTAAAAGCTTCGTTTTTGTGGCTGCCACAAGCTATGTTGATTTGGTTGAGACTGTGAGGTATTTAATGAAAACCTATAGCATAATGTGCTGCAGGATGTCCCACAAAAACAAGGTTTTTGCAGTTTAATAAACTTTTTCCATTTTTATGATAGAACAGTGGTTCTCAACCTGGGGTCACCAGTTGTTTTTGGCCAACAACTCCCAGAAATCCCAGCCAGTTTACCAGCTGTTAAGATTTCTGGGAGTTGAAGGCCAAAAACATCTGAGGAGCCCAGATTGAGAACCACTGGGATAGAACCAATTAGGAAATGACATTTATAACCCAGGAACAAAAATCATATTATATAGTGTTATCATTTTGGTATTACCCGCCCAGTGGTGTCCCCTGCTGCATTTTACACCCCGTCCCCAAACCCAATGATACCACTATTTTGACAATAATAAAAATAAGCCAAAAGTGGCCAGAAGTTCTCTACAAGTTTAAGATATTTCAAAATATTAAAATGTGCAAGGAACCGCTATATATACTTCTTGTCTCCTGCCTACATCATCAGTTGGGAGCCCCCCGGCACCAACTACTCTCTGGCTAGAGTGAAGAGAGAGGGGGGCAAAAGACAGTTCCATCTTGACTCTTGTGCTTTACTAATCTATATATATAAATCTGTTAGGGGCATCCAACGAGGAAACAAAACTCAAAACCCCCCCAACGAAACTTAACCAAAATTCCCATGCCCATAACACAACCCACAAGGTACAAACATATCTACTCAAAATGAAAAACAAAACAACAACACACTCACAAAACGGCAAAACAACAAAACTCAAAAATCCCCCAACGAAACTTAACCAAAATTCCCATGCCCATAACACAACCCACAAGGTACAAACATATCTACGCAAAATGAAAAACAACACAACAACACACTCACAAAATGGCAAAACAACAAAACTCAAAAATCCCCCAACGAAACTTAACCAAAATTCCCATGCCCATAACACAACCCACAAGGTACAAACATATCTACTCAAAATGAAAAACAACACAACAACACACTCACAAAACGGCAAAACAACAAAACTCAAAAAACCCCAACGAAACTTAACCAAAATTCCCATGCCCATAACACAACCCACAAGGTACAAACATATCTACTCAAAATGAAAAACAACACAACAACACACTCACAAAACGGCAAAAGGATAAAACTCTAAAAAAACAACGAAACTTAACCAAAATTCCCATGCTCATAACACAACCCACAAGGTACAAACATATTACTCAAAATGAAAAACAACACAACAACACACTCAAAACGGCAAAAAAACAAACTCAAAAAACCCCAACGAAACTTAACCAAAATTCCCATGCCCATAACACAACCCACAAGGTACAAACATATCTACTCAAAATGAAAAACAACACAACAACACACTCACAAAACGGCAAAACAACTGAGCATGCGCATTGGCGCCCAGCCGCAAGTTCCCTGGCGCGCGCACATGCCTTCCGGCCAACGTTCCCTCTGCGGAAACCATGCCCACTCCAAGCCCCGCCGCGCCGCTTCCCGCACACACACACCCCTGCCGCACACACACACACAACCCCACACTCCATCACTTCCCCCGCTGCCGCACACACACACGCAACCCCACTCCCCCCGCCGCCGCACACACACACGCAACCCCACTCCCCCCGCCGCCACACACACACACAAACCCCACGCTCCATCACTCCCCCCGCCGCCACACACACACAACCCCACCTCCCATCACTCCCCCCCCCCAAACTCCTTTTACTTCACGCCACCTCCAAACCCCCCCCCGCCCCTTCCCGCCCTGTCAAAATCTAGGAAAGACAGGAAGGAAGGAAAGAAGGAAGAAAGAGAAAGGGAGGTAAAGAAAAAGGGGGAAGGAAGGAAAGTTAGAGAAAGAAGGAAGAAGAAAAGGAAAGAAAAGGAAAGATGGAAGGAAAGAAAAGAGAGCAGAAGAAAGAAAGAAAAAGGGGGAAGGAAGGAAAGAGATAGAGAAAGAAGAGGAGAAGGAAAGATGGGAGGGAAGGAGGGAAGGAGGGAAAGAAGGAGAGAAAGAGGGAAGATTGGCCACAGCAACACGTGGCGGGTAAAGGTTGTTATTTCTATTATTATTATTATTATTATTATTATTATTATTATTATTATTATTATGCTATTGTTCCTATGAGACCCTGGAGGAATGGGAGAGGTGTCAGGTCCCAGAGGCAATGCATTGCATTATTGTTATTGTTATGATGGTGGTAAAATAAAAGGAAATAAAAGGAAAGAAGGAAGCAAACAGGGAGGGAAGAAAGGCAAAGGAAGAAAGGGGGAGGGAATGAAGGAAAGAGAGAAGGATGAAACCAAGTAGTGAAAGAAAGAAAGAGGTAGAGAAGGAAGAAAGGAGAGAAAGGGGGAGGAAAAGGGGGAAGGAATAGGTAGGTACCTCTCTTTCATAATAGTCCAGATATCTAACTCAACTTTGATAAGTTTTACTATAGGCCACAGCAACGCGTGGCAGGGCACAGCTAGTCTATATAAATAAAAATGTAATGTTTGTTTGTGTGATTAATGTAACTCAAAAACCACTAGATGAATTGACACCAAATTTGGACACAATACACATATCAGGCCAACGAGTGACCATCACTCATAAAAATACTGAAAAGCACAGACTTAAAAAGGCAAATTTTTTAAAAAATACATTACAATGCATGTGCAAAACCACATATACACATATATACACACACAAAACAGATATACACAGAGTGGGCCACAGCAACGTGTGGCAGGGGATGGCCAATAATATAATATAATATATTGTAAGGTAAAGGTAGGTAAAGGTAGTCCCCTGACATTAAGTCCAGTCATGTCTGACTCTGGGGTGTCGTGCTCATCTCCATTTCTAAGCCGAAGAGCCAGCGATGTCCGTAGACACCTCCAAGGTCATGTGGCCAGCATGACTGCATGGAGCGCCGTTACCTTCCCGCCGGAGCGGTACCTATTGATCTACTCACATTTGCATGTTTTCAAACTGCTAGGTTGGCAGAAGTTAGGGCTGACAGCGGAAGCTCACGCCGCTCCCCGGAATCGAACCTGCGACCTTTCGATCAACAAGCTCAGCAGCTCAGTGCTTTAACCCACTGCGCCGCCGGGGGCTCCTATAATATTTATAATATTATAATGTAATACAATATAATACTAATAATAATACAACATTATAATTATATATATTTATATTACATGTAATATTACTAATAATATTACAATATAATGGTGTAGTACAATATAGTAATACATAATACTGATATTGTACTATGCTAATAATTTAATATATTGTATGTATATATATATATATTGTAAGCCACTCTGAGTCCCCTTCGGGGTGAGAAGAGCGGCATATAAATATCGCAAATAAATAAATAAATATTTAAAAATAAATGGCAACTGTGTAGGTCAAAGTCATCTCTCTTTTCCTTCTCCTATTCAGTCAACTGTTCTTCTCTTTACTCCTTTCAGAGGCCATACTTTCCGAAGCAGTCGCAGTGGTACGGCTTACATTGGAGGGATCTGCTCTGTTGCCCGAGGAGGCGGGGTCAATGAGGTGAGTGGCGCATGATAGCTGGGCCTGGGCTTCTTGGGCCTTCGATGGTGGGGAGCTGAAGGTCATCACTGCATGCTCTTCCTCCTGTCCCTGCCATGGCTGTCCAAAGGTTGCATGCTTCCTTGCTCTTTCTCATGTTCTAGCCAAGGTTCGTGGAAGCTATTCCCAAGTACATAAGTGATGTCACCACTCTCTTTATTCAAAACCTCCCGTTTCTGTGACAATACAGCACAGTATGACCCCTGTACCCATGGGACTGGTATCCATGGTTTCACCTACCCACAAAATAGGTCCTGTCTAAGAATTTTTTGGTTGTCCATGTGATTCACTGGTATGCTTCTCCCAGAAGATAACGTAGGATCTCATTGGAGGACCTAGGAAATGCCTCTCTAGGAAATGTCTAGGCCCTACAGTGATATTCTATGCTAACCTTGTGGAAGTAATTCGTTTCCATAAGGTTTTCTACCTCTGAGGATGCTTGCCATAGATGCAGGCGAAACGTCAGGAGAAAATGCCTCTAGAACATGGCCATATAGCCCAAAAAAACCCACAAGAACCTAGTGATTCCAGCCATGAAAGCCTTCGACAATACATATTCTCTATTATTTACCATTTCCTGTTTCCATAGTAAGTTCAGGAACATATCCCCTGCAGATATGAGGGGTCATATTATAATGCTTGGTATTTTTTTCGTCATTGCATTCATTCACATTAATTTATTGTGATTCTTCCCCTCTTCCATCCCTTTTGCACCAGATTTTACATTGAAAGGTCCTTGAAGCAGAGACTGATTTTCTTTGTTTACATTAGTCTGCAAATGCCATATATCTTAATGAGACTATATAAATTATAGCCTCACTTAGGAAGACCATTTTCAAGGCGCTGATCTACAGGTTATGAGTCTGTGCAAAGCAAGGGGGAGGTTACTAGATGACCCCAAAACTTCAAGATGAGTCCTGCCCACAAAAACATAGCATGCTAGACTATGCCTCTTTACACCCTCCCCCTTCCCAATAACGTGATTTCCTCCTCTTCCTTCCCAAAGTATGGCAACGTGGGAGCGATGGCAGTAACATTAGCACAGACCCTGGGTCAAAACATTGGTATGATGTGGAACAAGCACCGAGCCTCTGCAGGTAAGCAACTGGGAACCGGGACTAGTCAAGTAGCTTTCCATTTTTCCTGATAACAAGAGAGGAACCCATGAGTAGCACATTAGGTTAGTAGTTTAGGCAGGATGATAAGTAGCCTAAAACAACCATGTGGTCTTTGTGGCCCTCAATAACCTTTTTATTCAAGTTAAGTCATAGGCTGTCCCCTTTTTGAAGAGTGGAGTCTTCAAGGAGCCGCTTGTATGGGACAACTGCGTGTTTTAGCTCTGAGGACCTCATCCCATGTGCGAAGGGAAAAGTGTAGGGAACCATCTTACTTCACTTCTTACCGCCAAGGTCCATCTTCTGGGATGGCCAGCCATCCCACGTCCTTTCCCCATCTTTCCTTGTCTTTCAACTCCTGAAAATGCATTCTGGGCTCTGTTTCCATGCACTGTGGAAATGGAGTCCCATGGAGTCTCATCAGAAGTGCCCTTACATCATGTGATGGCCTCTGTGGGACTCATGGAAGCTCATGGAAACAGAGCTCTAACTGCGTGGGATGGGGTCCTGAGTCAGCTCCTCCTGGGTGTTGGATGAGCAGACACTAGCAATGAATATGTCACCATTGAGAGAAGGGAACCATTCGTCAGGAGTTTCTGGCTCAGAAAATGTTCCAATTGAGCGGTGAAGGTCCAGAGAGACAAAGTCAGGTTAGGAGGATTGTGACAGGGTGGCAAAATGTGGGCATTTCCCTTCCATATGATTTTTTTCTTTAGCTGCCAGATTTTTAGCATTGTAGAGATTGAGACATTGAAAATGTTTCCCAGCAAGAGCTTTATTTGTGTTATGTTAATATTCTCTTAGTCACTTATTAGCCCTCCTTTCTTTGGAGGCTAATCTCAAAATGCACATCTGAGGCCTTCAGTTATTGCAATGCTAGAAATTTGGTTTTCAATTTTTCAGTATTTTCATTATGGAAGTGAATTCAGGGTTGCTAGGAGTAGAAACCACATAAGGACCACCCTTTCTTTTAGAGCTTTATATCATATATCATTTTGCATTATGCAAACAAATTAGCTTGCATTATGCAAAATGTATATCACTTTGTACATCGTGGACTTTGAGATCATCCGGGGAGGTCCTGCTCTCGGTCCCGCCTTTGTCACAAGTACGTCTGGCGGGGACGAGAGACAGGGCCTTCTCAGTGGTGGTCCCTCGGCTATGGAACACCCTCCCTAGGGATATCAGATTGGCTCCCTCCCTCTAAATGTTTCGGAGGCAAGTTAAAACATGGTCATTTGAGCAAGTGTTTACAAATGCAGAGTAACCGATATAGGAAATCTAATGACTTGACGATGGAACTGGATAATGCTTGATAATAAGGAGAAACTAATGATGTTGTTTTTATTGCTTTTGCTGTGTTTTATACTGTTTTAATATTTTAATCTGTATTATGATATTATGTATACTGTTTTGTTGGAAACTGCCTTGAGTCGCCAATTGGCTGAGGAAGGCGGTATACAAATGCAGTAAATAAATAATAAATATGTGCTGGTATGGCTGTACCAGGAGCGCCAACTTTATTTTCTTTCTGTTATCTGTTTGCGGTCATAGGGCAGGCCTCCTGTCCATCATAATTAAGCTTTGGTTCTGCCCCTTGTTCAGGGCTCTGGGAGGGAATGGAGCCATTTTTTTGGGCAGTCTCACATAAGGAAGCTAAACTATAGGACGTAGACCAGCTCGTCCCGTAGAAAAGCTTCTGTTCTCAAGAACATCCGGGGAAACAGAAACAGAAATTCCAGGGAAAAGGTCCCAAGTCTCTGGCTGAGAGCTCACAGCCTCTCAGCCTCACAGCAATCAAAGGGAAAACAGACCTGAAGTTTCAAAGAATTCTCTGAGGGAGGACAGCATTACAGATCCACTGAACTCCAGCTGAAGTATCTTCAAGCCTCGGCTGGTAGGTCTACTCGATACCCAGACGCATTTGGAATCGGTAGTAGGACCCACATCAATGAGGCATAGATAATAAGCAGCTTGGGAGAGGTTTAAAAGGGTTTTTTCTTACAGAGAAAGTACAGTTACTCAAAGTCCATTGAGGACTAGACTAAGAAAGCCTTAAAGTATTGTTTGAACCATTGAAGATTTGTTGTTTGTTCCACAATAGACTTTGTTGTATCATTAAAGACTCTAAAGACCATCACTTCAGAAAAATCCCTGAGAATCTCTCTTTGAGGCCCGCTGGCTTCCCGCTGGGCTTAAAGTATACATCCTATAGAAAAGACATCTGTTATAGGCCCAGCGCGCGACAGAACAAAATACATTCAACTAAATAATAAAAGAAACACAAGCAGACATTCGGGGAGATGCCAAGTTTTCTTGCCTCTAAAGCTTACGAACTAGAAATACTATATCTGTATGGAGGACGCAACAGACGACAGTTTGAATAACTCACACATGTTGAAGTGTAACAACATATGGAATATGCCCCTCCCACATCCCAGTGCCATAACAAAACATTTCCACTTTTCCTCCTTGTTGCTCCATTTCTCTGCAGGGGATTGTCGCTGTCCTGACTCCTGGCTGGGCTGCATTATGGAGGACACTGGGTGAGTGTTGGGAGGAGGTGGGCATGACAAAAGAGCAAAGCTGATGAAACAGCACATAACTCCTGCCAGATATATTGGACTGTAAGCCCCAAAATGGGGGATTCTGGGAGGTGTAGCCCAACACATTTGAAGGGAGTGAGATTGGGAAAGGCTACATTAGTTCTTCATCCTGATGTAAAGAACAGATTGCTTCTTGAAGTGCTACTATTCTTTAAAATCCTAATGTTAAACTTTCATGTGCATTAAAACACCAGTGTTTTTATCTGGAATTGTTTTGTTTATTGCAGCACTTTAATGTGTGTTTCTTCTTCGCTTTCTGGCATAGTTAGATCTAGAATCAAGTGTAAATACCTTTAATAATGAGCTAAAATAGGGGATTTGGCCAGGTGCATAGAGAAGAGAGAAAATATGGATCTGCTCAAATTGCTTTTCCTTTACTATTCTTCAAAACATTGGAGCCTAGATATCTTTCATTACATCTAGCCACATATTCCCTATCAGATAAGCAACTGCAGCACTCAAAGCATCTCATTATATGCTATGTTTGTCTTGGACAGATTATTATTATTATTATTATTATTATTATTATTATTATTATTATTATTTTCTTACTCACCTCTCCTCATGGCTTGAAGCGGGTCACAACATCAGTAAACACACACACATTAAAACATATTTCTACAAAATACATCTTGAAATGTACAAAACAAAGGCTGGATCTACACTGCCATATAAAATCCAGATGATCTGCTTTCAACTGGATTATATAGCAGCGTAGACTCATATAATCCAGTTCAAAGAAGAAAATATGGATTATCTGCTTTGATAATCTGAATTATATGGCAGTGTAAAAGGGACCAAAGATGAACAGCCTTGCCTTAAAGGAAAACAAATAAATTATACACTTATATAACCCATTTTGGGTCAGAACACATTCAGGTTGTGCATTTTTAACCTACAAATTGAAAATAAATACAATTGTTCAAAGTTCACGGACATCTTGCCATTTATGAATGAGGTATGCATCCAATCCCTGGACCTTTGAAATTATTCCTTCTCCCTGGAAATTCAATTGCTCTTGGGACATTTTATCAGTCTTTTAATTCTTCCTTTCCTGTCCCACAGTTACTACCTGCCACGTAAATTCTCGCGGTGCAGCATTGACGAATACAACAGGTTCCTGGCTGAAGGTGGTGGCAGCTGTCTCTTTAACAAGCCCTTGAAGGTAAATAATAATAATTTAATAATTTAGTCTTAATAATAATGACTTTAGGGAGGGTACTGTGTTTGATTTAATTGTACTGCTTTTCACTGTTTTTAGTATTTTAATTTTTTTGTTTCAAAAGGTAATTCTATTTTAATATAGATATATGAAATGTTTTAGCTATACTGTACTCATTTTAATTTGTAAGTCACCTTGACTCCCAGTTTTAGGGAAAAGTATAGGTACAAATAAAGACAATTATGACATTGGATTTGTGTGTTATCCATGTAAGACAGAAATACATCCATATGCATTTCATGTGCAAACATGGATGCTGGTTTGGACACAGTGCTAGAGTATCCTGTAGGAGCATTTTCCTAGTTTGTGAATATACATTTGGGTATAGTGCAAGATCCCTTTGGAGACCTGATTAAAATAATAATAATAATAATAATAATAATAATAATAATAATAATAATAATTGTTAGTTGAAACACAACAAGATAAGTCCACAGCAAACAAGATCACTCTGTTGGCTGTTGTATTGGATCACACGTTGGACACTTCCCAAGTGTTTAGGACTGTGTGATGTATTGGCGAATAATGCATGCAGATCACAGCAAGGTGGCCTTCTGCAACTGGCAGATGGTAATTTTGTCAGAGCCGATTGTGTTTAAGTGCAGGCCAAGGTCTTTAGGCACTGCACCCAGTGTGCCAATCACCACTGGGACTACCTTTACTGGTTTGTGCCAGAGTCTTTGCAGTTGGATCTTTAAATCCTCATATTGTGTCAGCTTTTCCAGTTGTTTCTCTTCGATCCTGCTGTCACCTGGGATTGCAACATCGGCAATCCATACTTTGTTTTTTAACACGATCATGAGGTCAGGAATATTGTGCTCCAAAACTTTGTCTGTCTGAATTTGGAAGTCCCAGAGTAGCTTGATAATAATAATAATAATAATAATAATAATAATAATAATAATAATAATAATAATTTGAAATACCACAAGATGAGTCCACAGCAGACACTCTGCTGGCTGTTGTATTGGATCACACGTTGGACTCTTCCCAAGTGTCTAGTACTGTGTGATGTATCGGCGAATAATGCGTGCAGATCCCAGTAAGGTGGCCTTTTGCAGCTGGTAATCTTATCAGCGCTGATTGTGTTTAAGTGCAGGCCAAGGTCTTTAGGCACTGCACCCAGTGTGCTGATCACCACTGGGACCACCTTTACTAGTTTGATGATGATGATGATGATGATGATGATGATGATGATGATTATTATTATTATTATGTTATTTGCTTTCACTATACATTGTGTCTTTTAACTAGTTCGCTGCTTTCAGCCTGAACCACCATGTGTGGTGAACATGGTGGCTCAGATCTCACCTTCCCAACAACAGAGCTAGAGGGAAAAGTTTTAGGTTACAATTTCCCCCAATGTTTGTCTTTTTCTTCTTTTGGAGTCTGTGTGTGACTTTTCCAAGGTCACCCAGTGGATTTCAATGGCCAAGCGAGTAGTCAAACCCTGGTTCCATGAGCCATAGTGCAATGCTCAAACCAAACCTAAGACGTGACACAAAAGAAAAGGCCACTCACACAGTTCTTCATGGTAGATTCCAAGATATAGCCATGGATCAGTATGTAAAGGCATCTTGCTACACTTTAGTAGCATAAGCTTCATCAGATACATGGAGTGAGGTGCTTAGGAACAAATTTTGTACCTATAAATGAGCAAGTGATATATATAGTTGTAACCTATGTTTATGGTGGCGAGGTGAGAAGTTCAGTATTAACAATGGCCGTTAGAGGGGAAAATAGAAAGAAATACGTTATCTAAAGCCTATGTGATAGATCACCATGTCAATGATGGAGTATCAGAATATCAGAATATAGAGGCTGAGAACCAGAATGGAGATGTGATATACTGACCAAGAGAGCCCTCATGAGGTTGAGGTGTTGACTAGTGAAACTAATAGTGGCTGTTCATGTAATTTTAATAATGTTGTATCTATTTGGTTTTATCTGGTATTTAATTATGCAGATGTGAGTCCATACAGTATGTAGTATTTTAAGGGTGCATCTCGCCATTGATATATGTAGTATTTTAATGATTTATAGGATTTTAATTGTGTGATTTATGGTTTTCATGTATTTATTTATTTGCCTTATATGTGAAAGACCTATGGTCTAAGCATGGAATAAACTTGAAACTTGACTAGTATTTAAATGTGTGTATTTTGTCAGGAAGCCATTGTCTCTGTTTAACCCAAAGTCCTTCATTGTGTGAATGGAATCGCATCCAGTTTAACCTTCAAGAAAAGCATCTCACTGTTGTCTAAATCTCAGGAGTAGCATCCTCAGCAGCCTCTTGAGGTTGTGATGCGGTTGAGGAAATCTGCAAAGCAGTCATGTTCACACCACATCCCCAGAAATCTTCTCATGATCACTTTTGGATGGCTTGCTTGTTTCTTTGAGTTATTGGATCAAATGGTGGTTGTAAATTATTGTATCTTCACAATGTTATTCCAAAGGTAGCAATATCTCAAAACATGGTGGTACTTAGGAGGCATGTCAATTCTGTTTTCCTTCACTTTTCGTCTTGTTTTCATCAATAGAAATTTCTGAATTTTAGTTAATTCTTGGGAAATTATCCCAAAACAAAATTTTGCTGCAAGAAATGTACGCTCACACATTTGTATCTCCCAGATTTAATTGGTTCAGCAGCTCCCAACATGGAGAGGATTGGGTTGTTGTAGGTGACCTCACAACCTCTGAGGATGCCTGCCATAGATGCAGGCAAAACGTCAGGAGAGAATACTTCTAGAACATGGCCATACAGCCCGAAAAACCTACAACAACACAGTGATTCCGGCCATCAAAGCCTTCAATAACACATGGAGAGGATTGTGTTGTGTCCAGTTACTCCTTAGGTGATAAAGTCAAGAAGACTCTCAGAAAAAAACTGGTGGCAGTCCTAATTTGATACTAAGATGTTTGAATATAAATGCATTCAATCCCATTTTTTATTTTTTATTTTTTACAATTCCGGATCGGGATAGATGAATTATCAGATTTGGTGTCTGCATATCTGGGATGCTGAAACACTACATCTCTTCATATTAAATAATGAAAAATTATATTATATAAATGTTAATAAATCTGTTATCAAGCATGAAAGGCACTGCCACCTTTCCAAAATTCCTACCTTAGAATGGGCCCATGGGAATAGGACATTTTTCTAGCCCAGTATGAGGTGAAGTTAGACTATAAAGTAGTGTGTACCTCTCTGGTTTCAACTGTCTGATCTTTCATTCTTTGCACAGCTCCTTGATCCGCCTGAATGTGGTAATGGCTTTGTGGAGGCAGGTGAAGAATGTGACTGTGGATCTTTAGCGGTAAGCAACAAGTGGGACAGAACCAGGCATGTAGCTGTGAGACATAGGATTCGCCACACACACAGCCTTTATTGGTATACAACAACAAAATCACAACACACACATATACAACAAGAGGTATGTCACAGATAAAAAGAAAGCATAATTAAGAGTTGCTAATCTCAAGAATAAAATTTGCAATAGCAACTCAAAAGAATGTATCACAATTGTTCAGAAGATAACCATTTTATAACACCCTTGCCATTAAGAATACTGTGAAATAATGGAATTCCTGTATTTCAACATCCATCATATTTAGGGCAAACAAACAAAGAATGCTGGAGTGTTTCAGCAAAGACCAAGACCCCTTCTACACTGTCATACAATCCAGGTTATCAAAGCAGATAATCCACATTATATGCTTTGAACTGGATTATGTGAGTCCACACTGCCATATAATCCAGTAATCCAGTTAAAAGCATATAATGTGGATTATCTGCTTAATTTTATATGACAGTGTAGAATGGGCCCCAGTCACAAGAGCAAACCCTCTTGGAACGTTCCACACTTTTATTTCCCATTCAAAAGAGATGATGGCAACATATTACATCTTGGAGTTGCCAAAGCTCTTCTCTGGATGAGATTAATCAAAATGCGAAGATAAACTGCCAAAATGCCATACTTGCATGGGATTAATGATGTGGTAGGGGAACAAGTTGTCTTTGCTGTAAGAGTCAGATTATGAAAGTCAAGCTCCAAATGTCTGCTCTTGACTGATTTGCAGGCTTCCACATAACGCTAAAACAGATAGATCTTGACTCCATCATGTAGAACTTCCCAAACATTTTATGTTGGTGACACACATTTTAGACATGCAGCACAGTAATTCAGCTTTACTAGCAAACTGGAGGTTAAACCAACCACTGAATAGAGAAAAGGACATATAAAGAAAATGTTATAAGAATATGCATGGGGACACAACATACCTCATGTAATCCTTTCAATTATATTATATTATATTATATTATATTATATTATATTATATTATATTATATTATATTATATTATATTATATTATAAATTGGCAATAATAACATTTCCCATTACATTCATGTGGCACTGCAGCTGACCCATTAAGATGTTGTGCCACCCACTTTGGAAAGCTCTGCCGTAGTGGATTCTGATTTTGAGGACACTTGGAAGGTGATATTGTTTATATATATATATATATATATATATATATATATATATATTCTACAAACAGGGTTCCCAGGGAAAATAATGGACAGGACACCTATCCCTTTATCCTGTTCCTTATTTTTGTAACCCTAGCTACAAACAGCTCCTCAAAAGAAGGAAACAAATGGAAATGGAGGCAACAACAATCAGTAAAAGGTAGCAAAACCCAAGAAGGTATATTACAAGAAATTGCATTGGTTTTAACTTATAAAACCTTACACAGTTCCAGTTCAGTTTACCTATCTGAACGTATTTTCCCCTATAAACCACCAAGAACTTTAAGATCTTCCAGAGAGGCCCTGCTCTCGGTCCTACCGCCTTCTCAGTCGCACTTGGTGCGGATGAGAGACAGGGCCTTCTCTGTAGTGGCCCCCCAGCTATGGAACTCTCTCCCCAACGAGATTAGGTCTGCCTGCTCCCTCCTGACCTTCAGGAAGCAGCTGAAATCCTGGCTTTGGAATCAGGCATTCGCAGATTGATGGATTGACTAAGAATTATTGGACCAGAATGTTTGTACTGAGTTGCATGATGTTTTTAACTTGGCGAGCTGTCTTATCTATGTATTTTATAACTTACTAGCCATCCCCTGCCACACGTTGCTGTGGCCCAGTCTGTGTATATGTGTTTTGTATCTGTATATGTGTGTGTATATATTTCAGTATATGTGTATATATGTGTGCTTGTGTATATATGTGGTTTTGTGCATGCATTGTAATGTATTTTTATTTTTTGGCTTTTTAAGTCTCTTCCACTGTGTTTTTCAATGTTTTTATGAGTGATGGTCACTCGTTGGCCTGAGAGGTGTCTTGTATCCAAATGTGATGTCAATTCGCCCATGGTTTTTGAGTTATGTTAATACCACAAACGAACATTACATTTTTATTTATATAGATTTATTATGTATGTTTTTAAAATATATTTATTGTGTAGCATTGAATTTTTGCTGTTGTTAGCCATTCTGAGTCCCTCCATGGAGTTAGAGAATGATAATAATAATAATAATAATAATAATAATAATAATAATAATAATAACTTTATTTATACCCTGGGGGTATAATACCTCAGGGCAGCTTACATGAGGACAAGCCCAACAGTACAGCAAAGCAAATATACAACATGAATACATACAGTAAAATATAATAAAAAATGCAAAACAATATAAATGAAAACACCAAACAATATAAAATCACAGTGGGCAGGGATATACAAGTTCTAAATAAATAAATTCTTTAGACCCAAGTATCTTTAAGGGATATTTATTGCCTTTTCTGTCTTATTTTCGCAGGAGTGCTCCAAGGGTGGAGGGAACTGCTGCAAGAAATGTACGCTCACACATGATGCTATGTGCAGTGATGGCTTATGTTGCCGAGGATGCAAGGTAAATGAGTGAGAGCAGACTGAGATTCAGTAGGAATATTTTCTCCTGTGGACATCTAGTGGAGTCACTAGCTTGAAACCTGGAGAGCCCTCCTGTTCTTTTCAGGGTTGTGTAGGAGTTGCTTGTTATCTCATTGTGCAACAAGCAATAACTTACTGCAATTCCCTCTTCTAAGTAACACTCCCCAGTTTTAACTCTGGCAGCCTAGCATTCACTCCAGCCTGTTCATTTTGTACTTAGGCCAAAACACAATGAGTAGCTTTTCTTTAAACTGTGAAAAATATTCTACAGGCAGCTAAAAGTGTAATATTTCATCCATGTGTGCGAGAGAAGATGTCCTGAATTCTCCTCCTTCCGGCCCAACTTTTCAGTATTATCTTTTCCCAGCCCATCCATAAGACCCTGCATGTTTTTAAAAGACCATGTTACACAGGCTCCCTAAGCAATTGATTCATTTTTAGTGGCATGGAATAGGCCAAATTCCTGATATTTTTGTTGTTCTTTGAACCAAAATAAATAATAGAATAATAGAGTTGGAAGAGATCTCATGGGCCATTCAGTCCAACCCCCTGCCAAAAAGCAGGAAAATTGTATTCAAAGCACTCCCCACAGAGGGCCATTCAGCCTCTGTTTAAAAGCCTCCAAAGAAGGAGCCTCAATTGATGGGGAGATATTGGAAATATAGAGGGGCCGCCATAGAGGTGGTGACTGGGAGAGGGGCCGCCATAGAGGTGGTGACTGGGAGAGGGAGATACGGGAAAGGGAGTATAAAACATTCATTTCGGCCCAAAATTCTCAATAACAAATTGGCAACCTCCAAAGATCTTAGAAATCAAAGACAAAAGCAAATTCGACCCAAAATTCTAAACAGGACATTGACAACTCCAAAAATTAATGTTACTATTCGGCCCGAAATTAGTAATGATAATTTGACAACCCCAAAACTCACTCCTGACAATATACAACTGAGGTGCCAGGATGGTTACCCCTCCAAGCTAAAGGTGGTGCTGTTCAATGCCAGGTCGGTAAATGGAAAATCTTCTATCATTCAAGATCTAATCCAAGAAGAACGAGCAGACCTGGCTTGTATAAGGGAGACCTGGTTGGACGAGGGGGGAGGGGTCAATCTCTCCCAACTCTGTCCACCAGGTTATTCCGTTCAGCACCAACCAAGGCTTGGAGGGCGGGGAGGCGGAGTCGCAGTGGTCTATAAGGACTTTATTCCACTGATCAGGTGTCCCATCCCACAATCATCTTCCTTTGAATGTGCCGGCTTTAGGATAGGTGACCGGGACAGGATAGGGATTCTGTTAGTGTACCGACCACCCCGCTGCACTACAGTCTCCCTACCTGAGCTAGTGGGAGTGGTCTCGGACATGGCGTTGAGCTTCCAGTGACTTCTGGTCTTGGGAGATTTCAACGTCCATGCCGAGGCCCCTCTTTCTGGCGCGGCTCAGGACTTCATGGCCGCCATGGCAACCATGGGCCTGTCCCAACTAATATCGGGTCCCACCCATAGTGCCGGGCACACTTTAGATTTGGTTTTTGTCCAGGGATGGGATGAGGGTGACGGGATGGAGGAGCCGACCATCACTCCGTTGCCATGGACCGATCACCACCTGATCAGATTTAGACTAACTGGGCCTCCTAACCTCCGCAGGGGTGGGGGACCCATTAGAATGGTCCACCCCAGGAGACTTATGGATCCAAATGGACTCCTGACGGCTCTTGGGGATCTCTCCACCTCCTTGGCTAGTGATACTGTCGATACTCTGGTCTCTCGTTGGAATAATGAGTTGACTAGGGCAATTGACACTATCGCTCCGGAATGCCCCCTCTCGAGTAACCGAGCTAAACCAGCTTCTTGGTTCACCGAGGAGCTGGCAGCGATGAAGCGAAAGAAGAGGAGGTTAGAGTGCATGTGGCTCCAGAACCCCACCAATCCAGCCCAAACACACCTGAATGCCTTTCTAAGGTCCTACGGTGTGTCAATAACAGCAGCTCAGAAAATATTCATCACAGCCAATATTGCATCAGCGAAGAATCGTCTGGCGGAGCTTTTCCGAGTTGTCAGGGGCCTGTTAAATCCGCCAAAAAGCGAGGCCTCGGACAACTCGGTGGCTCGCTGTGAAGCATTTGCTCGATCCTTCGCGGATAAAATTGAGCGGATTCGGTCGGGTTTTGACGTCATGTTAACGGCAGTCTCTGGGGATGTAACGAGAGCATCTGCTTGTCCAGTTTTATTGGATTCTTTTCAATTGGTTCAGCTTGAGGATGTGGACAGGATCCTTGGAGAGGTGCGACCCACCACATGCATCCTAGACCCCTGCCCATCCTGGCTGATTAAGGAAGCCAGAGGGGGTTTGGCGGAGTGGGTGAAGGTGATGGTTAATGCCTCCTTACAGGAAGGAAAATTTCTCGCGAGCTTAAAACAAGCTATTATAAAACCGCTGTTGAAGAAACCATCACTGGATCCCACTCAATTCGACAAC